CATACAAGTACCTGTTCTGGTGAACAGGATAAGCCTAGTCCTATTCCCCCCATCCCCATGTCATCCCTCCTGAAATATTAAAATTTTAAATGTAAATATATATGTAATGTAATGTTCAATTTGCTTTAACATAAATTTGATATATTTTTATTAATGTGAAACTGTATTCACATTATGACATTAATATATGAAATGTACTACAAACAAAATGTAATTTTGTACTTTATAATGTATCAAACTACCCGGAGAAAAAATGGTTGAATAAAATACATTTGCTAACTTTACTTTAATCTCATTTTACACAATAAGTATCATAATGTAAGTCTTACTCTTTTCATGTAGTGTATTTTATGGTAGACAGCATAACTTTATTTTATAGGCTAGGCCTCCTTTTTGCTTTTTTTTCGAAAACACACAACATTCTAATTCTGCATACATTTCTTTTGTGTGTGAGGTTATATATATGATGCAATAGTAGATGTACAGTTAATGATCTATAACTAAATAGGCCTATAATGCTATATTCTAAATTAAATGTTAACTCAAATTTATCAAAAAATGTCAAGTGTGCCTAGAATTTATTCATATAATATATATGGTAATGATAAAATTACCGGTTTGGCTAGTAGATGATAGACGCATATATATCAACAAAAAATTGTCGTTTTGCACATCTTCACGTGAGGGAAGTGTGACCTGTGTAGTAAATGCAGCAGACAAACAAACAAGCAGAGAGATATAGATAATAAGGTTGTTTTTGTGATACAGGATACATTTTCGTAGGGAAAAACGTTTACTCTAGTTTATTGTCCATTGTAATTTGTGTACTTTGTCATAATTTCAGGGTAACATTGTTTTTAGGTTGTGTCCGTAATTAGAAACCTGGTGATTCCAAGACTTTTGATTTCTGATGTTGAGAATGGCTTCATTTTCTTCCCCAGCGGGTGCATAGGCTGTAAGGTTGAGATAACTACAAAATTGTACAATACATGTAGCATACCTTTAAGGTTTGTATAGACATTTTTGGTATTGTGTAATATTGGTTTGGTATGGCTTTCTATATAGTCATACAACTTTCTGTCTTATGATTCAGATGTCATTATTATTTCTTCAAGGATATTACTTCTTACATTTAAAACTGGAAACGATACTTTTAGATAAGCACACTCAACCCATTAGTTACATTTTATCTTGTAAAAAGCAACAAGATAATTTGTATAACAGTTTTTGCGAGTGAAATCTGATCAAAAACAATTTAGGTGTGAAAAAAAAAAGGTGCAGCCAAAAAAGGATTGAGCATGTAACCTAAAGGAATGAAATCAAAATTGGCGGCCAAACTGGTAGGTACACTTATAGCATTGATAAGAATTTTACAGGAAATATTCATTCACTAGTTAGCTAGGCCATGTATTTTGTTTTACCCACCATCATGCCCCAAGTTGAAATTTTGATTTCATTCCTTTAAGTCGTACACTCAATCCTTTTTTGGCTGCACCTTTTTTTTTCACACCTAAGGTGCTTTTGATTAGATATCATGACTTTTTGTCATACACACCAACAAATCAGAGCAAGTAAGAAAGTGGCACTCGCTAGTAAACAACACTAGCTTTAGGATCTCAACCCTATTATTAGGAACAGACCTTTACTTTACAGAACCAACCAGATTCTTTAAAATATATGGTGGTAGTTTTCCTCTCTAAAACAGAGTTAATAGCTTTCATTAATAGTAACACCATAGAATTCATATTAACAGTATCTTATCATCATCCCCATGCAATCAGTACAGCTGTATCAAGCATCATTATTTATGCTAATTCATTAAGCTAATATCACATGACACTGAAAAGTTAGCAATGAATAATCAATAATAACCATCCACCCATATGATTCTTTTGAAAACTTGAGCTGGAAACTGCTAATCTAGTTTGCTTGGCCTAACCAATACTTATGTATCTGCACCTCCTTTCACCTTGTACTTTTGCTGCACTAAGCTAAAAATGGTCCATTTTTACTCTTAGGTTAAGCTGTAGTAAAAATTTTAAAACAATATCTCTTGTGACTTTTTGTGTAGGCGTATGCAAAAATTTTCATCCAATTTGAGCAGTTTTTGTTGAATAACTTTGCACATGTGGCTTATATTTACACCAAATGAGATTCCTAATTGAAAGTTGAAGAGATCTATCAGTGTACCAAATTTGAAAAAAAATCCGTAAAAGTTAAATATGTTTTTCTATCAAATAAAGATTCCATACTTTGGTGCAAAGAAAAAAAAAGGAAGAAACTTAATTAAAATTGGAGATGTTATATCTCAGATATTTCTTAATGGATTGCCTTGAAATTTGGTATGTGAAGTAAGAGTCCAGTAGAGCACATCCACTGAAAATATGTGATAGTTTGGATTACCACAGTCCTAGCTACAGAAAGTGGAAAATTGATAAACTATCATTTCTTTTAATAACACACAATGTGTCCTGCAGGCTGTTTTGGCCTCACAACACATTACCATGAGTCTTGATTTTTAAAGAGTTATATCCATTGTGATAACATTGTTGTTAGAGATGTGTTAATAATTAGTGAAAGAATTATCTACTGTATAAATAATTTTTACAGAGTTATATTGATTGTTATAACAGTGTTTGTAAAAATGTGTTAATAATTAGTGAAAGAATTATCTACTGTATAAATAATTTTCACAGAGTTATATTGAGTGTTATAACAGTGTTGGTAAAAATGTGTTAATAATTAGTGAAAGAATTATCTACTGTATAAATAATTTTCACAGAGTTATATTCATTGTTATAACAGTGTTGGTAAAAATGTGTTAATAATTAGTAAAAGAATTATCTACTGTATAAATAATTTTTACACGGTTGTATCCCTTGTGATACATTGTTGTTAGAGATGAATTAATACTACAGTAAAATAATTATTTGCTCTATAATTAATATTTACAGTTGTACATTTAGTTTTGTGGTAATAACAACAGGTTCAAGATGCATTAATACTTCATTGAACCATAAAATAATTAGAAATAAACAGTAGTTGGCTTACTTTAAGGTTTGAATGGCACACAGATGAAGCAGTTCTTTCAGTCAAGCCACATGAAGGATTAATTCCTGCTGGGGATAGTTGTGTAAGTTTTAGAAATCTCTTTGTAGTAAAGAAACAATCATTTTGTAACATTTTAACTAACGTACCTGTACCTTTTAAGATGATATATTTTTGAGTATGTTCTGTAATATGAAGCTACTGCAAGTCAGATGTATGTAGCTTTTTGACATTGTTATGTTTTAAATATTGAGTAAATATGTGATTTAGTAGACTATATGTTTGGATTAATGTAATGTTAATAAATACTTTCTACTAAATATGAGGAATTCTATAGTTAAATACTGAAAATTGGTACAATTAATAAAATTTATATCAATAGAATAAGACAAAAATTTAAATAAAAAATAGTTTATCCAAGTTTTTTTCATTATGTGTATTTCCTTCTTGATAGTTGTAGTTGAAATTTATGCAATGTTTCAAAATATATAACTAAGTGAAAGTTTACTAAATGTGTAACATATAGATTGACATTCGACAGAGTTTGATCCTATACATGTACGTGAGTTGTATAACAATTGGCTGTTTATTGAACCATTAAAGTGGTAAATAACATGCAAATTCTGTATTTTGCCCAGGTCAGCTTTGCATTAGAAATATAAATGTGTTTGACCCTCCTTAGCAAGAAACTTAATTTCTGTCTTTCTTAATTAGGTTTTAACATTGGTGTTCAAACCAGAGAAAGTAAAGAAGTATGAAGTTGGTCTTAATCTGTGTGTATTTCCCATGGAAGGTACAAGTCAATCAAATAACCAAGCATATTTAGCTTGTTGTTCAGCATGTTTCCCCGAGCTGAAGGTAAATATAACTGACTAAGAATATGTAAAAAACATAAATAACTTGATCTGACCAGATTCTGGTTTCATAGCAGAAGTTAGTTAAGAGGCACCAACCTTAGTCAGATATTACTTAGCAAATTTCTGAGATCATACTAGAATTAGTATGTTTGGATCTGCTGTAATAAAAGATATGTAAGTTTTGGATGTGATGCTGAAATCCAAATTATGGGATCTTGCTTGATCACACAGGTTTTTAAAATTTTTATTCAAATTTTGATTATTCAAAACTTGCTTCACTAGTCAAGTATCTGTGTTGATGGCCAAATAGGGCAATGTTCTAATGTGATATTTAAATCTGGATTATTTAGATCTTCCTCAACCTAACAAGTTTCTGACATGGTATTCAGATCTTTCTTGACCTTACAACTTTCCAATGTGATTCCTTGATTTATCAAAATCTTACTTGATATAATATCTTACAAGTTTTTCATATGATATTCAGGTTGTTTTAAAAAGCAAGTTTCTGAAATAGTGTCTAGATCTTGATTATTTATTTTTGGTTGACAGGAAATCTGATAACTGTCTTATAATATTGATTTGATCTAGGCTTATCAGAAAGACAAACTCATAAAACTTGTTTAATTGTTTAGTTTTTTAATAGCAGTTTGATTGAAATACAGTTTATGTGTCTCCTAAGGAAACAAGAATGCTATTCTCATTTGTAAAGTATTATGAAAATACTGTTTACTAGGTTTAATTATGTATATAAAGTTATTATTACATACCCTAAGAAAATAGTAGTTTTATTTCAGATTCTCCTATAAATTAGAATGAACAAATATTCTATCAAGAATAACTATTTTGATAAAGGAAATATTACTTACAATGTATAAAAAAAGAACTTTAGTATTGCCTTAGCTTGGTTTTTGATAAAGGAAATATTACTTACAATGTATAAAAAAAAGAGCTTTAGTATTGCCTTGGCTCAGTTTTTGATAAAGGAAATGGTGCTTACAATGTATAAAAAAAATAGCTTTAGTATTGCCTTAGCTCAGTTTTTGATAAAGGAAATATTACTTAAAATGTATAAAAAAAGAGCTTTAGTATTGCTTTAGCTCAGTTTTTGATAAAGGAAATGGTGCTTACAATGTATAAAAAAAATAGCTTTAGTATTGCCTTAGCTCAGTTTTTGATAAAGGAAATATTACTTACAATGTATAAAAAAAAAGAGCTTTAGTATTGCCTTAGCTTGGTTTTTGATAAAGGAAATAGTACTTACAATGTATTAAAAAATAAACT